AAACACAATTTTCTAACGGATCCATTTTTTTCTTTAAAATTTATATTCGGAACCTTCGTACATTGATGATTTGACATAAATGCTTTTTCCATTTGATTTTTAAAAAAGTATACAAAATTAGTTTTTAATTTCTCGCATTTACTTCATGAAAAGAGAGTGTCATGTAATTTAACTTTGAAAAGTGGCGAAATGTCAGCAGAATAAATCTTATTGCCATGGTAAAGAAGAAGTGGATAAATTTTGTTACTATATATGAATGGGTGAAAACCAGAATGATGTAAGTGGCATTTTATAAATTCTGAGAAAAACGCGTTGATTACAGGTTATATTTCAGTGGCAATACACTTTCGTGGTTTTAATGAACAATTGAAATGCTATGGTTTTAATAATGCAACAAAATACCACGACATTACAGTAATATTGAGTTAAACAAATTTCTTTGAATTTATCAAATGTCACTTATACCGTTTTAATTTTCACTCATTCATATAGTAAATTACTTCCACTAACCCGTCGTGTAGCCAGAAACTATGTTTTGCAGGTCCTTGATGCAGAAAATTCGATTGACGGCAAAACTCCGTCTGTGGTCAACGTTAGCGCCTAAACGGTTTAGCTGATTTTCTCCAAAATTACGATATACCCCGGTCTGAACGATCTTCAGGCTTTGCTATTTTCAAACATATTTTGATTTTTGAATTTACTTTACAAGAAGTCTTAAAACATTTTCAAATTCTTCTCCAATTTTTTTGAAGAAAAATTGTCCAAAGGAAACGTAAATGATACTAAAGAGAATGGTGCAGTTCTGATGTTTGATAAATTGAAAATTGCAATCCTTTTTGGCTCCCTTCACCAACTAAATTATTGAAGATATAGATTTTTTCCTTAGTAAAATCTTTTCTTCAAAAATAAATCTTAAAATGAGGTTACGTTCAATTTTTCAAAAATATGAGTAGTTTTCGAGTAATTTTCCACGAAATGTAGGATATTTGAAATTTATTTAAGCATTTGTTTTCTCAAAAATCACTCCAAGGTTTTTCTTCAATTTTCTCCACAGATAGAAGACGGAACGTTTAAAAATAATAACGCGGGTCTCATTTTCGTGGAACTCTGAATTTTCGAAAATTGGAAATTTAGAATTAATTGAGGAAAGAATGTGCTGTTGTAGCACCACTAGTATATATCACTTACTTTGTTAATATTTACATTTCATATATTTTTGGAGCTTATTAAGTGTGACAGGATAAGTGTTTCAAATGATTTCTTATGATGTTTCTCGAAAACTCAAAATTGCGCATTTTCAGAAACACTCGATTGGCATGATAAATAAATAAGATATTGTCAGGTATCAATATTTTAATTCAATATTGATACCTGACAATATCTTATTTATTTATCATAATAAAAAGGTATCTACTTCACCAACAATCCAATTAATAACTCGATTGGCATTTACTCAAGAACGGCTCCATATTTTTCAGTAAAAAATGGCATAAAGGATTATATCATTCTCTTATCTAATATTCAAAAAAATATAATTTTACTATTTGGAGAAAGGAAAAATTAAATGTGAACAAATGTGATTTGGCGCAGTTAGATAGCAGCTGGGAATAGGGTGGTGCAATACCATAATGAACACGGACAGTACCGAGTACGAGATTAGAGTAGATTAGAAAGAGGTTAGGAAACTCACTAGTCCCAAAAAGTCTACAGCTTAACTAGTTTAAACTAATGGTGCTATAACGTACGAACTTTCTGACACATAGAAACGGATATGTCATATTATAATATCGCAACTGTTTCGTATTTTAACACATCTCAGTCATACGTAAAACATATTACATATTGTAGAACAATAGTTGCGAAAAATAATTCCATTAAAGCTAATATATAAATACAAATTCAATAATTAAATGCGAACTTTAGTCTCAATCAATTAGAAATGCATGACTTAGCGTGACGCAGTGCTGACAGCAGCTGCTGTACCCTACCTGTTGTTGTCAGCGCGTTGTTGAAGTTGAAAAATCGTTTGACGGCAAAATGTCTGTCTGTCTGTTCGTCTGAGGTCAACGTCAAACCAAAAACCTTCGAACGATTTCATCTAAAATTGCTTTTTTCGATCTGAATGATGCTGCAACTCTTTTAATTTTAAACATATTATATATTTTTAGGGTACTTAACTCGAAGCCCCTAGGATTTTTCAAAAAGGCACCAAATTTAAAAAAATAAATTTTGCCGTTGGATAGCGTAAAGAACGTTTAAGAGAATGATGGAGGTCTCATTTTCTTTGAAACTCCTTTTTAGAAAATTGAAAAAAATTGAAAAACATTTCGACTTGTTCCTGCAACTACAATTATGCAGATAACTTTTTTAATGAAACTTGTACATCAAAACAGATATTTAAAATATGTGATGTTCAATTGTTTTTAAATATTTGTATTTTTTCAAATTTCCCTTGAAAGAGGCAAATTTTAAATTTTAACCATTATTTCCTCAGAAACTAAATCTAAAACATTGAAGATAGATATTTTTTCTTTTATGAACTCTATTCTTTGAAGGCAGAATTTGAAATAACATGAACAATTTTTAAAAACTGAGTCGTTCGGCGAATTATTTTGTGAGAAATAAAATTTTGCGAAATATTTTGTGCAAATTATTAACTTAAAAAAACGTTTTCTAAAAAAACAGCTGCAATTCTTTTGATTAAATTTTGATTTCGTATAGCGTAGATGACGGTTAAGATATTGGTGCGGAACTCCCCTTCGTTAAAATTCATGATTTTTCTAAATCTGCAAAAAATCAATTTTTTTCGAAGTCTTCTTTCTACTACAATTACGAACGTTAAATTATTCTTTCTCACCACCGGTACTGCAGTAGAGAGAAAGTTATGTAACGCTGCCCGAAAAAAAGGCGAAATTTTGGCCGAAAAACTCTTTTTACAGGTCCCTGGTAATGAAATGTGGAAAAATCCAGTTGCTAAATTTAAAAAAATTCTCAAACACATGAAGTAGCGAGAACTCATGTTGTGCGGGTCCCTGATACTGTCAATCTGTCCATCCGTTTGTCGTTTGTGGACAACAGACGCTTAAACCATGCATAGGATGTTTTCCGAATTGAAGAAACCCTTGTACATTTGGCCTGAGTCAAAGCTCTACGATTTTGAAAACCATTCAATTGTTTTTGGCGGTACTTTACATGACCTCTGGAACATTTTAAAAATTTTCTCAAATATGACTTCAAATTTTTCCTTTAAATTTCTTATAAAAATAGAGTAAAATACGATATAGGTGGCATAGGACTGATTTTCACGGTCAAATCTGAATTTTCGAAACTTGCAAAAGTTTTAAGTTTTTCGGGGTCTTCCTACTACTACAAAATTGCAGATTCAGATTTTTCCTTCTGAAAAAATTTGTTGTCCTTAATTTCTTCTTCCTTTCTGGTCCTGTACGTTTTTTGAAAATTTTAGTAGTTTTCGCGCAATATTGCGTGCTATTTGTGCAATTTTAAAAAATTGCAAAAGCAAGATTTTTTCAACAACGGCTACATCATTTTTCTTTCAACTTTTGGTGGGGAGTGTGGCAAATGCACTCTATAAGATGACAAACTCTATATTGCTCTATTGCCTTTGTTTTTTTCAAAAATTACAAAAATGTAATTTTTTGAAAGATCTCTCACGCCTTTAATATGCACATTTCCAGCGATTTGTAAACACTTGCGTTGGTGACTGAAAATGCTTGAAGTGACTTCATATGAATTTTTTAAAATTTTTCAGTAGCTTTCTGTGAAAAGAGGTTCAATTTTTGAATTTGCTGTGGCGCTTAAATGCTATAGCTCAAAATATTTCAAAGAAAATTCTCATTTAGGATGAGATTTTATTGGTCTTTAGTATTCTAAAAATGTTTCTGCTCTATTATAAGTAAACCGAAAATCAAGAAAATTTCAAAAAAAAAAAAATGTATTTTGGGTGGCAATAAATGGCAGCTGGCAAGTATGTGGCAAGTCCGTGTAGCTAGTCAAGACCAATGGAAATAAAAAAAAAAACAACTAATACGAGAAAGTGTGTCATTCTGTAGCATCTTCAGTTTAATTATTTTTTCTTGTTTATTTATTCTTTGATCTCTTTGAATTGTTTCCAGAAAGGTTCATTGTTTTAAGAAAATGGAGTTTGAGCGTTTATGAAAAAGGGGAAGTTTAGGCGTATTTTCACAGAAAACTTCAAGTTTTCGAGAAACTTCATCAGACCTCATTTAAAATACAGGTTCTCAAAAATATAATAATGGGGATAAATCGCTTGTAATAAGAATAATAACAACGTGAGTTATAAAAAATATTTCATGTGTATGGATAACCTTGAATGTGAGAATCGATAAGTCGAGTCGTCCTTCCTTGTGATGCGATTACTGAACACAGCCAATACGAGTGGTATTGTGGTTTTTAATAAACGCAGTTACGAGTGCATTTCTGAGCTTAACGAAGTGTTGTTATGAAATGAATACCAAAACCCGCATGTGTGTAATACGTTTCATGTGTAATTTAAGTCGTTTATGTCATCTTCTATGGAGCATTTAGCACTATCCCTTCAAAAAGTGTGAAGAAAAAATTAGGAGCCGCTTTTGCGAACATGGCGTTTGAGCGTTTCTGGAAATGAGGGATTATGAGCTCGTTTTTGCGGACCTCTTTTGAGCTTTCCGGAATATTTAGACATCATTTGAAGCACATGCACTCAAATGTGATATTGTAAACTAATCGCCGTTAATGTAAGTATTAACGACGCGAGAGAATGTCGAAAAAATTCCTTTTTTTTAGTTTTTGAACCACCAAAATAATATTATTTTTATTTTTATAAGGAACATATTTTTTAACAAATTTAATTACTGACCTAGTTCATCGCCTGATGAATAGTATTCAAGTTGTAAGATGGCGAGAATGATGATTGCTAGCACACACGCCACAACGAAACAGACGAAATCGAAGACGAAATGCACTCCCCAGAAGATTAGCACATTCGCGCCGGAGGCGATCTGCATGTGCTTGGCGTTGTTGGAACGTTCTTTGACGGGGAACAGGATGAAGTAACTGGATAAAACTATCATGCCCAAGGTGATGGGCAAGGACACTTGTCCCGTGCGTCTCAACAGCAGCAAAGCCTGAAATCCAAGCAAAGCTCTACTAGTCGAATTTCTTATTAATATCTCTTTGCTAGTTTGAATTGTCTACGTACATCAGTAAGGAGTCGTCCCAATTTGTATTAATATAGTTTTGCCCGTTGATGTCTACCACATCAGTAAGAGTGACAAAACACATTAGCATGTTGTAGTGAACTGCACACTAATATAAAACACAGATATCTAATACTGAAAATGGTAAAATAAACTATTTTTGCCTTTAACTTACTCGCTTAACAACGACTTTTTATTTTATACATTTTAACAATTTCATTTAAATTTTATTGTTGCACTCCTCCATCAAGTAGTTATGATAGAACTAAGCAAACATACTATTGTGTTCATTACATAGAATCGAAACTAAGACCACTTTTTTTACAATGAAAAGAAAACGAAAAAGTGTTGAGAGAGAAAAAAGAGAAAAATAAAAAATTACATGGAAAACATTATTAATTCGAACCAAAAAATACAATAAATATGTGCTCATCCCTTTTAAATTATTTAATTAAACAGTTATTTTCATGAATGAATATGTTTTGTCAATATATCGTCATTCTAAAATATATCAAAATTTTGATTAAATTGGAAGAAAGTTTTTTTTTTTTTTTTTCTTATAATTGGATTTCACAGTAAGCTGCAACAAGCATCAACATTTAATCGGACTTCTCACTTGATTAAACTAATTAACACTAACATAACAGTTTTTAAAACATCCAAAGACATTAGGAGAAAGAGACAGAACGAAAAGACTTTTCGAGAAAGGACAGAAGCTACCAGAAGAGACCTCTCCTCCTTTAAGAAACTTTGATCAACCTTAATCTAAAACAATATGTTTATTAATTTAAATAGCATACCTGGCGAGACCTCCGCATTAAATCCCACCTGTTCCGATATCCTTTATATTCTTATAAGGGAAAAGGCGGTCACGGAACTATTTGTCTTTAAAGAAATACATAAAGAACTTTCCAATGTACCATAGAAACTCATTAATCCGAATCCCTCAAATCCGGAAGTCCGGATAATTCCGCAACAATAATTCGATTTAAAAGAAAAATAAATAAATAAATAAAATAGAATAAAATAAATAAAATAAAAAATAAATAAATAAATAAATTAAAAAATATAAATAAAAAAATAAATAAATAAAAAATAAAATAAAAAATAAATAAATAAATAAATAAAATAAATAAAAAATAAATAAAAAAATAAAATAAATAAATAAATAAATAAATAAATAAAAAATTAAATAAATAAATAAATAAATAATAAATAAATAAATAAATAAAATAAATAAATAAATAAATAAATAAATAAATAAATAAAAATAAATATAAATAAATAAAGATGATTGTATGGTTAAAAAAGGATTTATAATACTATAAAAACTACATTACTAAGTGGTGAATAAACGTTTATTCCACTGTAACTACATTGGGTCATAACATTATGAAAACAGCGTCTGAATTTTTATTGAAAGAAAATTTGCCAAACGGTAATCTTTTTGCCGTTATGAAACTGACTCTGGGCTTGAGGAACGATATAATAAACGACAGCACCGCCTACGGTTGCAATTTTCTCACCAACACACGCTAAGGTTCAGTGTTCTGCTAGATCCTATAAATGTTTTTGTATATGCATGGTACATATTTTAGGATAAACCGAATATTTACGAATCCGAACAGACCACACCCACAATCAGTTTGGATTACCGGGGTTCTCCTGTACGTACAGAATATAAAATGAAAAAAAAAAACAAAAAACTATGCCATTGACGTTTGAAACGCAGTGTCAATAAAAAATAATTCAGTTCTATAGATCGGTGTTATACGAATAATTCACACTTCCTTAAACAACATTTTAAGTAATTATACAATCTTCCCGACAGCCGCTTTCCTTGATAGTAAAAAAATCATTAGAAAAGCGTTTAACTCCCGAGAAAGCTACGTAAATTGGTCCATGCGAAAATGCACGATCGGGCCAGAGCAACCCTAGTCTTTGCAATATTATTTAACTTACCTGCCGAACGGAGAAGTACACCCGTGCAATAACACGTAATGTTTAAATTCAAATTTGATAAGTAACACTTAAGTGTGAACTATCTCTGTAAAGTTGGTTTTTGTTAATAAAATAATAAATATTACTAACCTGTGATTTGGCCGTATATGGCAGGGGATGGTTCACAATGTTTAAAGAAATGCCTGATGATTTCAGGTGCGCATTGTACAACATATTCAAAATCAAAGGCACGGCGTGGAAAGGATAATTATTGAACCATCCTATAATCTGCTTTTCCTCAAATGTAGCTCCAACGTGGTACGATTCACGCATCTCCCCTCTGTCGGCATTGTACTGCATAGTCAATACACGTTAGCGTAGTCACTGTTTTGGGAAAATTTGAGTTGATCAACTATAACTAGAGACAGGATTTCCATGCAATTGTATATTTTTATTTACACTTCGTAGATCTTTCAAACTTTCTATGTATATTTTTCATAGTATACTCATTTTAAATATGCATCATTTTTCCAAATATGTTTGCATGTTATGGTAGTTTTGAGAAGAAATTCATGTATTATGCCTGTTTGGGCTTTTTTATATTCTCGCTACGGAGTAGAGAAAAAGTTATGTAAAACAGCACGAAAAAACGGCGAATTGTCGGCAAAAGATCTCTTATTACAGGACCCTAGTAACAAAAAACTGAAGAAATCCTGTTGCCAAGTTAGAAAAAATCTCTTAACATGTGGTGTAGCTAGAATCCACGTTCTGAGAGTCCTTGATACCGAAAAATAGATAGACAGCGAAACGTCTGCCTGTCCATCTGAGATCAACGCTAGCGGCTAAATCGTTCAGTTGAATTAATTGGGGAGGGGAGGTACTTTACCTGAAACTCCTTTAGCATTTTCAAAATTTTCAAAAAAATGGTTCCCTCGATTTTGATTAAATACATTGTTGTTGGATAGTGTGGAGGAGCTTTAAGAGAACGGTGCAGAACTCATTTTCGTTAATAACCCTGATTTTGTCGAATATTGCTCAATTCAAGAATTTTTTGGAGACTACCTACAACTAAAATATTAAAGATAGAGTTTTTTACCAATGAAATCTGTTTCTTAAAGATATATGTTTAAATATTGTCAAAATATTTTTAAATAATGTATTTTGACATCTATGTAGCACACTAGACACCCTTTTAAAGCTCTATTAGCATAATATGTGAAAATTAAAATTGACGCATATTTTGTATAAATAGTATATCATTCTTAGTTTCTGACAGTACGTAGCTGTCTTCGCTTATTGTTATTCTAGAAATTTTAACACTCCTGTACACGTGCTATAATTTGCGAAGCGGGTATATGCGTTGTGACCGACGATTGTGGCTCACAGCGATTAAGTAACCAAAGATAAGGAAGATAAAGGAAGCAGTCACTCAACATCATTTTTGATAACTGACAATGGGAGAGAAAATAATCAAGAACATTCTCTCAGCCTGCTTGGGTGCAAAAAATTAAGTTTCTAAAAATTATGTCTGTAAAAAATCAACATAAAATATGAAATCAAATTTAGTAAAATTGCCTATAACACTTCAGTAATTACAATGAAGAGTCAAAAAACTGGTGCACCTGCCTAATATCGTGTAGGGTCCCCGCGGGCACTCAGAAGTGCCGCAACGCGACATGGCATGAACTCGAGTAACGTAAGAAGTATTTCTGGAGATTAATGACACCATAAATCCTGCAGGACTATCCATGAATCGCATCGGTCCATCGGTCGAGCCGTGGGTCACAGATAACAGATCGCGCTGTTTCGTACGCTTATTACTTGCGCGTCTATGTTACGAGAACCCGTCTTGTCATTGCCGAAGCAGAGTGGGTGTTGTGTAGTTCTGAGCACGCCTCAAACGAAACAATATACATACATACACTGAAGAGCCAAAAAACGGGTTCACCTGCTTCATATAGTATAGGGTTCCCTCGAGAACGCAGAAGTGCCGCAACATGACGGGGCATGGACTCGACTAATGTCAGAAGCAGTGCTGGACGTAAATTTGACATCATAAATCCTGCAGGGCTGTCTTTAAACTCGTAAGAGTACGAGGGGGTGAAGATCTCTTCTGCACAGCACGTTGCAAGGCATCCCAGATATGCTCAATAATGTTCCTATCTGTGGATTTTAGTGGTCAAAGGAAGTGTTTAATTCAGAAGAGTGTTCCTAGAGCCACTCTGTAGTCATTTTGAACGTGTGGGCTCTCGCCTTGTTGTCCTGGATTTCCAAAGTCCGGCGGGCTGCACAATGGCCATGAATAGGTGCAGGTGATCAGACAGGATGCTTTGCGTACAATTACCAGTCAGAGTAGTATTTAGACATATCACTCCAACTTCATACGCCCCATACTATCACAGAGCCTCCACCGGCTTGAACAGTCCCCTGTTGACATGCAAGGACCATGCATTCATGAGATCGTCGCCATACTCTTACACGTCCATCCGCTCGAAACAATATCGGTGTTGACGGACCCAGGCAAGGTGTAAAGCCTGGTGTCGGGCAGTCGTCAAATTGCATTGCCACCTCGCAGATTTTACGTCGCATCTCTCTTGCACTGACTAAAACACCACGTTCAAATTTAATTATCACTTAAATCGTGATAGCCTGCCTTTTGTGGTAACCGATCTAACAACTGTGCCAGACTCTGGTTGTCTTGTATAGTCGTTGCCGACCCGAGAGCAGTGTTCTGATTGGTTCCAAATCTCTTCATTTCAATAAGCATTGCTGTACCAGTTTTTTGGCTCGTCAATGTAGAAGCAGCAGGCTTACTTATCGAGGAGTCCTTCAAATTAGTTAAAGACATTAAAATGTCTTTGAAATCAGTGTTTGGAGTTGTGAGTGTCGCTGCTAAGGAGAATGTGTTAAATTCCAATTCTGATTTGAATTTTCTCTTAGAGTAAAAATCATTATTTGTTGTGAAAAATCATAAAATGCAGAATTTTACTACACATTGTATGTACACACACTACTGTATTTGACAAAACGATGAATTTGACAGAGTAAAATTGAGAAAAACTGTTAACTGTTACAAAAGGAAATAAAACGGAAAATATACTAAACTAAAATTCGATTGTGCACGTTTTGACAATTTTTGTTCTGCATCATGCATGTGTGTCTATTTGATTTTGCATGTCTTCATGCATATTTTAACATTTGATAGTGCATGAAAATCTTGTCTCTAAATATATTGTCAAGGTATTTAATATTTTATGGTCTTAAGAACACATACTGAGTTGGGTATCACTCAAACACAACATACAATGTCACAATTTTAGGATCCATGGTAAGATACAAATTAAACATTAGTTTACTTATGACATGTTTTCGTAAATATACAAAAAATATTGAAACTTCGCTGCATTTCTATTTTTCCATAGAACCATAATTACAAATCTAAATACATTATCGATATTATCGTAATATTTCAATTATTGTGTAACTACTTATAAAACATTAATCTATAGTTCAATCACATTGTCATTTTAACTAGAATATTTTCTTTAATTTTAAACAGTAGTAACTATTTTTTGTTCTCTTACCTGATCGAGCATGCGCTTTTCAAATGCATCAGAGGGAGACGTTTCATTATCTAGAACTATTACAGTCCAAGTGCCATCAGTTGCCAAATCTTGAAAGTTTTTAGACATCGATTTGTCACCACTTCCAACTGCTATCACTGTCTTCTTGTTTTTCCAAGACTGCAAAAAAACTTTTTCTAAGCCGCAAATGAATTGACCTCAAGATATATGTATCATTTGACAAAAAATAGCATTTGCATGTTGTTAGACACATGAACCTTTTGTGTCGTTCAAATAAAATATAATTAGTGATAATAGCTATAGCAGAGGAAGGTGGTCAAGATTCAAATTTTAAATAATGCAGGAAAACCGGTAAAAAACGCCTAACGCACTAGTCTGGCAAATATTCCTTAGGATCGGCTGCTCTGATTGGTCTTTTCTGTATATTATTTCGAAAAATACTGGTAGATGCTGGGACAATTCCGAAAAGAATGGGCCATGTGCGATCCTTCTTTCCACAATGTCGGCACTCTGATGCTCTGGTTCTGATGTTGGGCGGACCCCCAACCCCACATCCCCCGTAATTTCTAGAAACTCCGGTATGACTAATGGAATGCGGAAATCTGGCCCAAAACGCAAAGAGTTGTGGTGATAGAGAAGAAAATATTTTCGTTGTTAGGGGTAGAGCTTTTGGTAGAAAGGCTGACATTTCCTTAATATGGCAGCCTTCTTTATAGCACAATAGTTGAGTCAAAACGATTCCCTCCTTGCCAAGGGCGCGAATAAAACAGCGATGACAAACACGAACTCCGTCCGTGAAAGTTTCAGACTGCATTTGCTCTCGAGGCTTGTTCCTGTTTTCCAAGATTGAAAGAAGTTTTTAGAAGCCACAAATGCACTGACCTCAAAATATAAGTACCATTTGTCAAAAAATAGAATTTGCATGTTGTTAGGCAATAACACATTTTTGTCGTGCAAATAAAATCTAATTAGTGCCCCTAGCTTTACCAGAGGAAGGAGGAAGGTTAATAATTCCTTCAAATACGAATTAAACAATTGAAAATATCTGGCTCTTAACCTGGAAGTATGTACAGTCGACTCCGGTTATAGTGAACGTCTAGGGACGACTAACGTTTTTGTTTCACTAAATCAAAGGTTCCCTATATCCAATGATGTAAAAATTAAGTACAAGCGGGAGCACGAAATATCCCCATTTGTTTCTTACATAATTTATAAGTCGCACGAGATATCCCGTTCGGCATTTGAACAGCAGTAACAGAGTTTGGAGAAACAAATGAGCTACCAAATAACGCGTAATTCACGGTATCTTCACTAAGAGACTAGTTTATTTAACAATGGTCGACAAAAGACTGTTGACGTATGAAATAAGTCTCCATTTTGTTGTTAAATCAAAAAGATATTGTTAATACAAACTCTAAGGAAGATATGCTACAGTGAAAATCGCATCTTTGGAGAATTCTTCAAACGCAGAACTTGCTCAAAATGTTTACCATTTCGATCTATCACTTCCCCCATCTCGATCAAGTTATAATCCAGTTTCCTTGATGCAGATGATCGAGTGCTTCTGGACGTAAATGTAGCTTCACTGTGCGCACATTTTGTTGAACTCTCCTTTTGCTTGTAATGATAAGAATAGAGGTAAGGGCGAGTTAAAGTTTTGTTAGCAATGCAGAAAAATCATACTTGCAATTCGTTTACCGATGCAAATAAGTTTTCTAGAACTCGGAAACGAAAATGTCTATTTTTTCAAATATTGCTAATCTTGCGATTTTTAATATTTATTTTTATCTCTTTATTTTATACTTTTACCCATCTTTCAACTATTTATAGTTAAAATGACGGGAAGGGATTCTGGAACTCAAGAAACGTACTCACTTTGTATTTCACTGAGAATGTCCGCCATTGCAAAGTGAACACCTTACGCTTCGACATTGTTGCTGAACACCACACTCTTAAGCTAACACCGATAACCTTTCTTCTTCCCAGGATGCACCTAGTACATGCACTGGCTATCCCACTCTCCTTAGGGCATTTTATTCGCCGTAATAACACACGAGATCCGTCCGGTAGAGCACCGGCGAAAGCGGCCAATTAAACCAATCGCTTTTCAACACTGCGGTGCGGCGGGTGTCGGGGACATGGCAGTCACGCGCTTCCTATCGCCTACGTAGAACACCGTGCTTTTGTCACGTAAAATCTCAAGTAACATCAAGTTTGAAACAGAAGCAAGTAGTCGCGCATCAACGCCGCCAGTGGTCGCCCAAGCTAAACGGATAGGGCCCTTCGGCAGTGAAATAAAGTGGCGCAAGGTCATCACTAAGGTCTTAACACCCTGTCCGCTACCTCCATATCAGTCAGGGGACACTTCTTCGATTATGATTTTGGTTGACGATATTTATTCCAAGTAGCCTAGTTCTGGAATTTGAGGTAATGATGTGTCATTTTTTTCCAGGAAGGAATTGATTTCCAGGACATTGAATTTCCTACGTTCACTAGAGAGGTTCAGAGTTCACTGTAACAGAATGTTCTTGTGATTTTTGTAATGTAAGTGAAACGGAACCAGTGACTTAAGTTCACTGTAACAGAATTCACTTCTACCAAAGTCGACTATGTATTAATAATCTATGTATCTGTGAGATCTAGGCATTAGACATTTTCAAATAATTAATTGGCGAGATTTCTAGGGAGCTACGTTTTCTTGTATTCTTCGTTAATTCATTTTGGAGTGGTCACTCATTTCAATTCTCTACGTAGTTAGATCTCAAGAAGCTGAAACCGGTCCGACGCTGTTCTATGTGTGGTAGATACATGAAATGCATGCTCTAGCAAAAGTGCCGCCAGACGATTGTCTTTACGTAAACAGTCATGTGAATCGCTGATTAATACATTTTACACATAAAATTTTTCAAGTTGAATATCGTGAAAAAATACCACGTGAAATCTGAATATAAGGTGATGTTCCATTCAAATAAGTAGAAAGTATCGATAACAGACGAAAACAGCTTGGTGATTTGACACTTTCGTATGCATCAGGCTTGAGCAATTTTAACTCAGGTGAGATCTACTTTTGTAAATTAAAACAAAGTGATCTGCCCAATTCAATGCAAATGGATGGTCTTTTTATTTTTTTTACAACAGTAAGTAACCCTGTTGAACACAAATGTTATTTGTAAACCCAAGTATGTATAAGCAATACAATAAAATTACAAAAAACAAACTTTACAAAAGTTTAAGTCCCAAGTAAAATGTTTTCGGCAACAAAAGGGAAAGTAATGTTAATTTTAAAAGTGATATTTAATGTATTATGTTACAATTGGAGTGTATAATTCTAAACAACCTGTAACAAGTATTGTATCTCTGTTTCTCGGCCAATGAACCCCATTTCGATAAGTGTTTTTGTCCAATTTCCCTGATCCTTGGAGCAAATGCTGAAATGGAACCTTGTTTTGCTTCTGGACATAAATGTAACTTCATTACCTGAGCACGTCTTCCTGAATTCACTAAGAAATATAGTTCTACAAATTATCGTTCTCCATGTTGGTGCGGCAGGAAATATTATTGCCTCTCCAAGAACACGGTGAGGGAAAAGATCCCAAATCTATAGCTGATTTTCCCTTGAAAATATATTTTATTACTTCGGAGAGAATATTTGTTAACAATACTTTTAAAAAATGTTCATTCTTTCTGGATTCGAAATTCAACTAGTGTATGGCTTAGAGTAGGGATCACAGTATTATGAGAACGTGCACAGAATTCACGTCTCCCCGCAGCACGTCACACACAATTTTAACTCTTTTTCTAAAATAAATTAAAAAAATAAAATGAATCTTGAAGTTTTCTAACTAACGTGAAGTCTGTGTCTACATAGAATGTATCAAAATCTGATAACACCACGTAACACATTTTCTTGTTTCTGGGTAATAAATATCATTGTATATCCTAAAAGCATGAAAAAACCTACTTCCCTGCAAAAACTTTGCTTTTGCGATAAGGAGTATGAAAAGGTGATATTTGCGTACTGTCAATACAGAACGTACATATTTCCGGGTTTATCTTCCTTTAAAGAAGAAAAAGGGAACATTATATTACTTTATGTTACTTAGTACCTTTCGA